GATGCATCAGTGACCACACAAAGTCCCTTCCCTCAGGAGGTTGACAGACTAGTGAAAGAAGCCTTGTTGGGTCCTGTGGGCCCGGGTAAGCATTGGCATTTCCTTTTAAATATGTTACCTTTTGATCTCCACAATCTCTGTCTAAGATAGGTATCCTTACCCTCATTTTATAGAGGAGAAAATAGGGGCTTCCAGAGGTTAGATTGCATAATCTGCCTGCAATAATGTCAGTGTGGTGAGGGTTGGTTGTTAGCAGGAGAAACATCAATGATGAGAGAGAAGACAGAACACTTGCTTCTAGGAACACATGCTCTATAAGAAATGAAGATGAATGAGCCAGTAGAGTCGCATTGCTGGCAGGTGGAGAGCCTGGATTCAAAGCCTAGACCATCTGGCTCCAAGGACCTTCTATTCCCACATCCTCACACTCCTTCATTCCTCTTGGCTAGAAAGAAAGAATATTTGCCAGTACTTTAAGTAACTAAACCATTGTCCAGAAGTCACTTAATCACAGGACCAAGGTCAGGAGCAGCCTCTTGGAATCCAGAGAGTGCAGAGAACTGCCCCCCTGTCCCTTGTTGGGCAGCGGTGCCCCTCCCACCCCCTGTCTCTTAGCAGCTGTGCAGCAGGAAGAGAAATGGCTCCATCAAGGGGGCCACAGGGCAAAGGTGTCCAAGGTCTTGAGGATGGGCAGCTCCAGCTCTTCCCCGCAGAGGCAGAAGCAGGTGTTCTGATGGGATAATCGCAGGTATCGATCAGGCAGCAGAGAGATCCAGTGGCATTTCTCAAGCTCTAGAAGGCACCGCAATGAATGAATAGGAGACAAGAAAATTCTATAAATTGGCTGTTCCATTTGATGTTCATTTAATTAAGACATTCAGTCCTTCTAATGGAAAATGTGAGGAGTGGAAATTACTGTTTTTCAGCCATCTCATATAAAATGAAAACCAGGTCTTGAAGGCATGGGGCCTTCTCATGGCATCTTCTTCAGGCTTGATTTAATTATGTGTTACAGGCTACCTTCAATAATAATTACAATTGTCTGCCTTTATGCAAAGCTTCTTTCTGTCTGGGGGATGAAAACTCTAGGGAGATGCCTACAGAGCTTGCTCAAGTACCATTTAATGTAAGCAGTTGTCTCCGTGTTCGTGCAGATGTTGATGATGCGCCTACTGTGTGCCAAGCCTCTGTCAGGTCCTGCAGGTGGCAGCATGTGCATGAATCATGGCCCCCCTTCTCCAAAAGAGCAGGAAAGAGGCCCTGTGCTTCCAATTATGCATGGATTTATTTGTGCGGCCAACATTCCCTGCCTGTCTTCTCTGTGCTGGTCCCAGTGCTGGGGAAGCAGAGATGAACTGAGAGCCAGTCCTGCCGGGTCCCTTTGCTGGCAGGAGCTGGAATCCAGATTCCCAGCCTGGCTGGCTTAACGCCACAGCCCTGCCCTGACTCGAGCACTCCCAGGCCTAAGCAGGAGGCAACTTGTACATCAGCTGCATCGACGCAGGGGACACATTCTATGACAGAGCTGTGCCAGTCTACCCGGAGAGACCGGGGAGGGCTTTATGAGGTGGCATTTGAACAAGGAAGGCCTTGTTAGAAGTAGTATTAAAATGACATCTGACGCCTAATCAATAGTCTCTCTATCAATTCTTTATAAGACTGTAAACCTCCTTTTTAAGTGTCCTGCATTGTATAATAAAAATTTTTTTTAGCCAGTTAGGTCAGGAAAGTAGAGGGTTTGAGTAAGCAGTCTCATTAATAAAGAGTATATACATTGATAACAGGTGTTCAAAGAACCAGAATGAATCAGTATCCATCCCATGAACTTCTTGGACTGTAATGGACCTTCCTGTTGATTTAAAAGATGAGAGCTCTGTTTACTCATAAGACAATGGTACAGTCAAGATGACCAGGGCTGAGCCAGTCTTAGAGAGTTTTGATTTGGGGCTCAAAAATGTGGGGTGCCCGCCCTAACTGGTTTGGCTCAGTGGATAGAGCATCGGCTTGCAGACTGAAGGGTCCCGGGTTTGATTCGGGTCAAGGGCATGTACCTTGGTTGCGGGCACATCCCCAGTGGGAGGTGTGTAGGAGGCAGCTGATCGATGTTTCTCTCTCATTGATGTTTCTAACTCTCTATCCCTCTCCCTTCCTCTCTGTAAAAATCAATAAAATATATTTTTTAAATACCTTTTGAGGTTTTTTTAATATATTTTATTGATTTTTTACAGAGAGGAAGGAAGAGGGACAGAGAGTTAGAAACATCAATGAGAGAGAAACATCGATCAGCTGCCTCCTGTACACCCCCCACTGGGGATGTGCCCGCAACCAAGGTACATGCCCTTGACCAGAATCAAACCCGGGACCCTTCAGTCCGCAGGCTGATGCTCTATCCACTAAGCCAAACCGGTCAGGGCTAAAATATATTTTTTTAAATAAAAAAAGGGGGGGTACCCTAGAAGTATTTTACTGACAAGGCCTGGAGATGGGTATTGGCAGGTGTCTGGTAATGAGACTCTTCTTTAAATGCCAGTAATTTACAAGGTCCTCCTCCCCAAGGTATCTGTGGTCACATGCTCCCTGTATGCCATCACAACACTTCTGATCATGAAAATAATCATGTAAATTATAAGAAGTGTTGGGAACATGAAACATACAAATAAGCAATTAAAATCACCTGCAGTTCTACTTCCAAGAGATAACCATGTAAACATTGGTATGACATTACTTCCTGCTCAAATTTCTAGCAGCCTTAAAGGGTCAGAAAGAACACCAGCCTCTCCTAGAGGGAGGGGAGCAGAGTCCCAGGGAGTCTCCAGGTGAGAAGGGCCTTAGGGAAAACATTCCAGATCTTTGCCCCAGACTTGCCCTCCTTCCTAGCAGCAGTCTCGGAACAGCTCCCTTCCCCAGCTCCTTGGGGTGCTCAGCACCTCTGACACAGCCCAGGTCTCGGGCTACTCCACCAGGCCCTAAGCCTGACTGACCATTTCTCACAAGAATCTGACTCAGTACTTAGGAAGAAAAATGAGAAATCAGGACAGGAAATAGGTTTCCAAAGGCCCTTAACCACCTGTAGGAGAGCTGAAAGGACTGGTAACAGCCCCACAGCCTTGCCCCTACAAGCCCAGGCATGAGGTAGATGGTAGAAGCCACTGTGTTGCTCGCCATCTTGGAAAGGGCTTCCATTCCCCTTTCTCATCCTCGGCAACAGAGATTCAGCTTTCCCAAAGCCCCTCGGCCCTTCCCTCTGACTTAGTCTTGGGTCAAGGATTGATGAGTCATTAAACTTGACCAACACCTCCTCTATGGCAGATTGTGCCAGGGACTGTCACCATTCAGTGTCAAGAATGTGGTCAGTACCAGGCACAGGGACAGAAAGAGATGGCAGGTGGCAGAATCCATGCAGCACCCACATCTGACCTTGGGCAGAAAGTGGCTCGGAGAATTCCTGCCTGGTCTCATTCCCCAAGCCTCCTCTGAAACCACATGAGCTGTAGGACCCAGGGATCGGGGCAGGAAGCTAGGCCCAGCTAAAGGAATCACAGAACAACCAGCATGGCTGAACTGTTGGCCTTTCACTTCACCATTGTTAAAACCCTCAGGGACCCAGGGGCGAGCTTTACTCCAGTAATAAAGGCAAAGCATGAAACAAAGTCCAGAGGGAGACCCAGAGTACATGGGGGAGGGAGACACATGTGGATGAACCCATGCTGCAAGCTTGGGCAGGAGTGGGAATCAGAAATATTGGCAGCACATTTACTGAAATTGGAACGATGGATAAAGATTAGCATGGCCCAGCAGAAGGATGGCACGCAGATTCATGAAGCAAAGTATATATTGACATCTGGATGAAGAAGTTTTTCCCCATTCACACACAAGTGCAAAAAGGCTATTTAACCCTACCTTTTTACACTTCAGCCTCCCCTAATTAAAAATAATCACTCACATGTTAATGGCCTACTCCCTGCCATCTTCCAGCAGGTAGGTGAGCACAAAATGGATACTTGCAAATAGACAGGACAGGCATGCTCATTGGAGACAGAGAAGCAAGTGGTAGCTTGGAAGCAGATAGATCAAAGTTTGAATTTTAACTCCACCCACTTACCTGTGTGACCTTGAGCAGGTGACTTCACTTTTCTGAGCCTCAATTCCTGAGCCTCCTCCAAAAGGAAGATATTATATACCTTTTTAGACTAATTGTGAGGTTTAAATGAAAGACTGTATGAAAAGGGACTAGCACCATACCTGGTATGTTGGAGGTGTTCAATGATGGTAGGTATTTCTTTTATTATTATCAGGAGAATGGGGAAACAAAGTAAGATGCAATTATAATGCTTCAGATGGACCACACCAGAGCAAAGCTGTGAGTTGTGAGAGCTGCAGATCCATAGCTGCTTGGTGCCAGATATGGAATCTAGATGGGAAGAGATTGCAAGTGCCTATCTGTTTGGCCTGCTTATGTGGCATCGGAGTCCTGGTTTGGATTCCGAGTCCCCTTTCCCAGGATCTATAACTTCCTGGGAAGCCCCATCTTAATATTGTTCTTATAAAATCTGTATACCAGTTCTTGGGGGGTTAGACAAGGTATTCAAGCATCAGGTTTGCCCACCTCAGCTATGGGAGTCCCCAGCTTTGAGACTCTGGGTCAGCATATGGTTACATCATCTCCACCTTCATGGGTGAATATTCATTTATAGCTACGGGCACATCCATGTGTCCTTCATGGTAATCCTGGGAGGTAGGCAGGAGAGGACGTATCCTCTCCACTTTATGGAATTAAGAAAATAAGACTCAGAGAGGTAAGTCATTTGCCTGCAGTCGGTATCAGCAAGTGTAGCCTTATCCTGAAAACGATGTGCAAGGAGATGGAGGAGACATGGCAATGCATCTAAACAGAAGGAAAAGCAGAACACGCAAAAACTGTGGCATTCGGTAGAACGTGCCAAGTCCCGGCTCTAATACCGTTATATTCCTGTTACTCAGAACTACCCCTTGGTTTTCAGGTATGACAGCTTTGGCCGCCTGACAAACGTGACCTTCCCTACTGGCCAGGTGAGCAGTTTCCGAAGTGATACAGACAGCTCAGTGCATGTCCAGGTAGAGACCTCCAGCAAAGATGATGTCACCATAACCACCAACCTGTCTGCCTCAGGTGCCTTCTATACACTCCTGCAAGGTAAGCCAGGTGGGGGCTGGGGGACTTTGAGGCAGAGGGGTGAGGAGACCCATTTGGAAAAGGATAACACAAGAAACCAGCTGCTAAAAAGCTTTACAACTGGTCTCCCTCTGTATTGCCACCTAATCTGCAAAACACACCAGCCTGAGTCCTATAAATTCTCTCCCTGAAGCCTCAGAGTAATATTTCATCGTCTCATCCCATTATCATCAGAACAAAGGGTAGAGAATCCATTAGCTCCTAATCGAGGTGACCTCACTGTTCTGCCATTCTAATGGCTCTCAGATTAAAGACTCACTCTCACTCGGGTGCAGGCAAGGACGAAGGACAGAATAATTACACCTAATTATGAAAGGGATTTGGGCGTGGAGGAGCCCTTCCTGAAGCTCAGGTGAGAATGGTTTGTGCCTCTGCTGAGAGTCCATGGAGAGGAGACCCTTTCTCTCTGCACCCATCACGTAATCCCTGATATGAGTTGATCTTTTAGCTTCAGCTGAATCATGTCGATGAAACATTGCTGTGAATTGTCTGCCGCAATTGTTCTCAGGGGATGTGGTGACTTAGAGTGGAGCTTGCAGCTTTGCTGGACTTAGTAAGCATTTTTTTTTAAAAAAAAAAAAAAAAGGCAGCACAGTAAAAGGCTCGCTTGGTCTGCACCACCCCCCTCAACCCCACAGGGCTTTTTGTTTTGTGTTTTTTAATATATTTTTATTGATTTCAGAGAGAGGAAGGGAGAGGGAGGGAGAGATAGAAACATCAATGATGAGAGAGAAACATGGATCGGCTGCGTCCTACATGGGGATCGAGCCTGCAACCCAGGCATGTCCCCTGACCAGGAATTGAACTGTGACCTCCTGGTTCATGGGTCGACACTCAACCACAGAGCCACACCAGCTGGTAAACCACATGGCTTTTTGTACTCCCACAAGTTTTGACACAAAGTATTGAAAAGGACCTTGGGCTGGGTGTCAGACATCCAAATTCTAGTTCTCACTCTGCCACATCACCATGGCCCTCAATTTTCTTCTCTGGGAAAAGAAAGCAGGTTGAAGCCACAACAAATGGTGTGGGGCAGCACACCAAGCAGGAGTTCTAGGGTAGACAGACTTGGACCCCTATGCTTGCTGAGCCAGTCCCTACCTGTGTGAACTGGATGGAGTCAATCTTCTCTGGGCCTCAGTTTCTGCGTCTGGGAAATGGAACTGACTTGCAATGCCTGACTCAGGGTTGCTCAGACCCTCTCTTTAGACAATATCCATAAAGTGACCAGCATGGGTCAAGCACATAGTATTGCTCAGTAAGTACTTGTCCAGTCTATTAACTAATTAATTAAGAAGTAGTTGAATTTGATTCACCATTAGAAAATAATTGTATATTTTCACAACCATTTTTACTCCCAAATGAAGTCCCTATGCCTTTAAACAAAAACGTCAAAGAACATGCTAAGAAATGAAACTAGGCCACCAACTTAGACCATACACAAGAACAAACTCAAAATGGATTAAAGATTTACATGTAAGTCACAAAACCATAAAAATCCTAGAAGAAAACATAGGCAGTACAATGTCAGACATTTCTCATAACAATGTTTTTGCTGATATATTTCCTCGGGCAATAGAAACAAAGGAAAAAAAATAACAGATGGGACTACACCAAACTAAAAAGTTTTTGCACAGCAAAAGAAATCATCAACAAAATGAAAATGGAACCCACTGTATGGGAGAACATATTTGGCAATGATACATCTGATAAGGGGTTAATTTCCAAAATATATAAAGAACTCGTACGACTCAACACTAGGAAGACAAACAACCCAATTAAAAAATGGACAAAGGACCTAAAAGACACTTCTCCAAGGGGACATATAGGTGGCTAAGAGACATGAAAAAATGCTCAATGTCACTAATCATCAGAGAGATGCAAATTAAAACTACAATGAGATATCACCTCACACCTGTCAGAATGGCTACCATCAATAAATCAACAAATGACAAATGCTGGCGAGGATGTAGAGAAAAAGGAACCCTTGTGCACTGCTAGTGGAAATACAGACTGGTACAGCCACTGTGGAAAACAGTCTGGAGTTTCCTCAAAAAATTAAAAATGGAACTCCCATTTGACCCAGTGATCCCACTTCTAGGAATATATCCAAAGAAACCTGAAACACTAATCCGAAAGAATATATGCACCCCTATGTTCATTGCAGCATTATTCACAATAGCCAAGATTTGGAAGTAGCCCAAGTGCCCATCAGTAGATGAGTGGATAAAAAGCTGTGGTACATTTATACAATGGAATTCTACTAGGCCATAAAACACACACACACACACACACACACAGAAATCTTACCTTTTGCAACAGCATGGATAGACCTGGAGATTTTTAGGCTAAGTGAAATAAACCACTCAGAGAAAGACAAATACCATATGATTTCACTTATATGTGGAATCTAATGAACAAAATAGAAACAGAGGAATGAATACATGGAACAGACTGACAGTTGTCACAGGGGAAGGGGGTTGGGGGGGCTGGATGAAAGAAGATAAAGGGATTAAGCAAATAATGTGTTTGCGTGCGTGTGTGTGTGTGCATGTGCGTGTGCGCCTGCGTGTGTGTGTGTGCGTGTGTGTGTGTGTGTGTGTGTGTGTGTGTGTGTGTACACACAGAGACAACAGTGTGGTGATAGCCAGAGGGAAAGGGAAAGGGTAGGTAGAGGTAGGCAAAGTGTGTGTGGTGAGGGAAACAGGGACAAAAAGAGATTTTGCTTGGGGTGATGGGTGCACAATACATTGTGCAGAAGACGTTTTGTTGAGTTGTGCACTTGAAACCTGTATGTTTTTGTGGACCAATCTCACCCCAGTAAATTCAATTTAAAAAAAAACTCAAAGAGCAATAGCAGTTCTCAAAGAAAGAGAAACCTAACCCTAGAGTTTCTTCCCCACCAAGCACCTGCAGCCCTGGGTTGGGCCACACCCCGGTGTGATGCTCTCACTGGGTTGTTACCCAGAGAAGGTACCAATGCCGAGCCAGCCAGGCTTCTGCCTGACGAGGGACAGCAAGGCCACTCATTACTCAGACACCTTGTCCTTCAGGCCCCTTTTCTTCTCTGTGGTTAAGACTTGCCTCACCCGTTCCATACCTCTAAGCTGACTTTGAGCAATTTTCTTAAAAGTTAATGCAGGCTTTCTTATATTTGGCAACTTTTTTTTTTGAAATTCAAAAGTGCCATCAAAAAGGTTTTAAAAGGCACCATCAATTTAATAACAACTTTTCAGGTTGGGGGATGGGGCTGGAGGGAGACCCACCGCCTGAAATGCACATAAGGACTTAAGACACATTGCAATTTCAGAGACAGTGCAATGTGAAAAGGAAAAGTACATATTGGACCCCAGGAGGCGTGGTGCCCGTTTTCCCTCTTTGGTACCTCTGCCAAGCTCCTCTTCCTTCGTTCACACCAGGCCCAGATGCTCAGTTCTGCAGCCGCCTCAGTAGTCTTTGTAAAAAGCGCTTTCGGTTTCATCTCACATCTGAACACTGGGCAGAAACAGGAAGGAGCTGCTAATGAGCAGCAGCCTTGGGAAGTCACAGCTCACATTAAATGGGGATCATTGAGATGGGGCTCTGCAGATGCTGTTCCACCCAGAGTCACCATTAATGGACGTATGTGGATTCAGGAGGAAGCAGCTTTATAAAAGATAAATTGACACAGGCTTTTTCACTGTTCAAAGGAAGTAAAATACAGATTGTCGGTGAATGATGCATAGCGAGTTTGAGGCAGATTTTAGGATTCTGTGTGTGAGAGAGAAAATGGAGAGGGGAGAAAACGGGGGAGGGAGAGAGACCCATTTGATGCTATTCTAGCAGGGAAGATTCAGTGAGGGTTTCCTACAAAAATAATACCCTTATTGCTTGTCAGAGCCCGGAATATATCTAGTTCAGTCCAGCAAATGTTTACTAAGCACGTGCAATAAAAGTGATAGTGATAACTAACATTTTGGAGCTTATTGGTATGAACTATATTTTTTAGTGTTTTAATTCATAGTCCTATTTAATCCTCCCAATGACCAGATGAAGTAGGTATTACTAATATCTCCCTTTTTCCAAATAAAGGACCATGGTCATACTGGAAAAGTTCACTCTGACAGGTGTGTGAAATGGGGTAGTGGAGATAGAGATGACGAGATGCATGGCAGTGACCAGCACAGTGCCAGGCACATAAAACGAGTAATAGCCACAGTTTATATGATACTTCCTATACGCCAAGTACTCATCTCACTTGATCCTGTGAGGTAAGAGTACAGTTATTGCCCCAGTGTGCAGATGAAACAAGGGCATGAGAGGCTATGGAATTAGCCCCTGGTCTTACAGCAGGAGAGTGGCAGCGCTGGGACTTGAACTCAGGTAGCCTGACTCCAAAACCCTTGATCTTAATCTCAATGCAGAGTGCCTCTCACCGTAGGCACTGAGGTATTTAAGAATTTGGTGATTAACAGGTGGGCGAACCCTACATCCCTCAGCCACCAAGACCACCAATGAAACACATAGAGAGGTGAAGGGGCATATGGGGGAGGCATTCATTCTAACCAGAGATACAGAGGAAGCTTCTGAGAAGAGAGCACAGTGAAGCAGAGCCTCTAAGGAAGGACTTGGGCTACCATTTATTGCAGAGAGGGCCAGTGCAGACAGAGGCAAAGGCGGAGAAGGGACAAGAGGCGGGAGAGTGCAGTATAAGGTCAGAGATGTTCATTCCATTTTTAGAAGAGAATTCTGTGTGCATTTCACAGCTGAAATTGACTTTTTTCTCCAGAAGCACCTTTTAGCTACAGATCCGAATTAAAATGTTTCAACCAAATATAAAACTTCAAATCGTATCTATTTTTTAAATTACTGTTATATATATATAGCTGCTCCATGACTTATGATGGGGTTGCATCCCAATAAACCCATTGTAAGTTGAAAATATCATATCCTAGGTCGAAAATTCATTTAGTACACCTAACCTACCAAACACCATGGCTTAGCCTAGCCTAGTTTAAATGTACTCAGAACACTTACATTGGCCTACAGTTGGGCAAAATCATCAAACACAAAGCCTTATTTTATTATAAAGTATTGAATATCTCATGTAGAATATTGCTTTCACACCATCATAAAGCTGAAAAATCGTAAGTAGAACCATTGCGAGTCAGGGACCCTCTGTAATGTATATATATGACAATAGCTTAAAACATATATACATACATATGTTTTATTTAAACATATGTTTTAAATCATATATATGTTTTAAATCACAAATATATTTGGCATTCTGTCAGTGATTTAAGTTTTGGAGTTATTTTTCACCTTGTTATAAAGAACACTGTTACCCTAGTGTACATCAAGAGCCTTAAAAATGTTCACCCTTCATTCTACTAATATTTATAGGAATCTGTTTTGATTAAATAACCCAAAACGAATACATTGACTTACCAAAAAATATATTTCTTTGATTGAGATAAAATTCAAATACCATAAAATTTACCCTTTGAAAGTGTGCAGTTAGTTCAGTGGTTTTTAGTATATATACAAAGTTATGCAACTATTACTGTTATCTAATGCTAGAAAAATTTTATCACTCCCAAAAAGAAACCCTTACCCTTTAGCAGTCACTGTCCATTCCCCCTTCCCCTCACTAATTTACTTTCTCTCTCTATGAATTGGCCTGTCCTGGACATTTCACATAAATGGATTCACCATACAAGGCCTTTTGTGTCTGACTTCTTTCACTTAGCTTAATGTTTAAAATATATTTATTTGCAGTGTTACATGTAATTATGAAAACTGGCGATAATTAGAAATCTATTTGAAGCTTGGTTAAATAAGTTATTTTCATACAACGGAATACTGCTCATTCATTAGTAAAATCTTTCATGAAAAATATTCAACAATAGAATACAATCGTCAGTGAAAAACTATAAGCCACATTTTATACTCTGACTATATTAGGGAATATCCTAAAAATCTAGGACAATACCATCATATTTACAGTGGTTTTTTTTTTGGGGGGGGGGGCAGGGGGGAGGTATTGAGATTGTACCTGTTGTCCATATATTTTCCTCGTTTTCTTTAATAATAATGTTTTGTTTCTATAGTCAGAAAAATAAACACATTTTAAAACCACACCCTGCCTCCCTCTGTCCTTGTCCCTCCTGAGCAGTCTGTCCCTCTCCTCTCCCTCAGACCAGGTCCGGAACAGCTACTACATTGGGGCGGATGGCTCCCTGCGGCTGCTGCTGGCCAATGGCATGGAGGTGGCGCTGCAGACTGAGCCCCACCTGCTGGCCGGCACTGTCAACCCCACCGTGGGTAAGAGGAACGTCACGCTGCCCATCGACAATGGCCTCAACCTGGTGGAGTGGCGGCAGCGCAAGGAGCAGGCACGGGGCCAGGTCACCGTCTTCGGGCGCCGGCTGCGGGTGAGCAGGACCTCCAGGCAGGTCTCCGCCTCTGGAGGCCGAGTCCTGGGCGGAGCCGGACCCGGGGGGGGGGGGTGGGGGGGGGCGGGGGAGAATGAGAAGGAACCTGGAGAACTGTGTTCCGTTCCTGAAACTGTCGCTGCGGTAGAAAGTTTTCCTGGGCGCTGAGTTTCCTCATCTGCAAAACAGGGAAAGTAAGGCAGGCAACTCATGTATTAAGCATCTTGTCCATCTTTTCTTTTCTTTTTTATTGTCTAAAGTTTTACATATGTCTCCTTTTTCCCAGAGTGACCCCCCCCCCAGCCATTCCCACCCCAGGCAAGCCCCCACCACCCCAGTGTCTGTGTCCATTAGCTATGCTAATATGCATGCATACAAGTCCTTTGGTTGCTCTCTAAATACCTCCCCCCATTTCCCCTGCCATTGCCAATCAGCAGATGAGTGGATTAAAAAACTGTGGTACATCTACACAATGAAATACTACGCTGCTATAAAAAAGAGAGAACTTTTACCATTTGCAGCAGCATGGATGGAACTGGAGAGCATTATGCTAAGTGAAATAAGCCAGTCGGAGAAAGATAAATATCACATGATCTCACTCATATGTGGGATATAATGATCAACATAATTAGATAAACAAGAATAGATCCAGAGACAAATGGTAGGGTTAGAGAGCAACCAAAGGACTTGTATGCATGCATTTTAGCATAACCAATGGACACAGACAATGAGGTGGTGGGGGCTTGCCTGGGGTGGAAATGGCTGGGGGGAGGGGCGGTCAATTGGGGAAAAAGGAGACATATGTAAAACTTTAGACAATAAAAATAAATAAATAAATAATAAATTTTAAAAAGAAGGAACTTTTACCATTTGCAACAGCATGGATGGAACTGGAGAGCATTATGCTAAGTGAAATAAGCCAGTCAGAGAAAGATAAATACCACATGATCTCACTCATTTGTGGGATATAATGATCAACATAATTTGATGAACAAGAATAGATCTTGTCCATCTTTACAGTTGTTACCTGTGGTAAGATTACTGGCTTTGGTGTTAGTCGGGCCTGAGTTGGATTTCCAGCTTCTGTTATTTCTTGAATGAATCGGGGGCAAATCCATGATCTCTTAAAGCCTTGATTTCGTGATCTATAAAATGAAGATAAAACCAAATTTATACATTGCTACAAAGATCAGAAAAAACATATCAAGTGCCTCATACAGAGCCTGGTCATAATAAGTGGTCAGTCACACCTGCTTGTGTTGTTGCTGTTAGTGCTATTCTTATTACTAGTACAATTATTATGTTGCTGATATGTCTGAAAATTCCGTTTAGCTGTTTGGAACCTAAGCCATATCCTCCCCCTTTTCAGGCAGTTATTCTTCCTAAATGAACAAAATGACCCCCACTGTGCAGGTCACCGCCAACAGGCTGGCATCTGTGGTCTGGCATCTCAGAGTGCTGTGCAGAGCGGGTTCCCCTGAACCAGCCCTTCCTCGGCCTCACTACCACGTGTCCATAGTGTGGCTTCTGGCCCCAGTGCCCGATTGCCCAGCCCCTCCCGCTTCAGAAGGAAGTTGATTCCCATCACTAGCCCTGGCTCTCAGCAAGGTACCTCGGAGACCACAGGTGCTCTGTAAAGACTTGCTGAGCTGAGCCACAAATTCCTGACTCCTCAAAACCGCAGAAGGATCCTCATGCAGCACAGCTGGGCTGTCTTGTCCCCCTGCCCTTCAGCAAAGGAAGTTCATTGAAGTACCCCTTTCAAACACAGGGCACCCGAGTTCCAGAGAGAAAAGGGATTTTCCCAGACTCGCATAGCTGGGTGGCGGTAAGGACTAGAGCAGTGGTTCTCAACCTTCTGGCCCTTTAAATACAGTTCCTCATGTTGTGACCCAACCATAAAATTATTTTCGTTGCTACTGCATAACTGTAATGTTGCTACTGTTATGAATCGTAATGTAAATATCTGATATGCAGGATGGTCTTAGGCGACCCCTGTGAAAGGGTCGTTCGACCGCCAAAGGGGTCGTGACCCACAGGTTGAGAACGGCTGGACTAGAGAGTAGGCACCCTGTCTCATAGCTAAATTCTCACAACAGATATAGAAACATTAAGGGAAATATCCAAGATCACACCACTAGAGCCAGAAAGCCAGGCTTCCTGTCTTCTCTCAACAGCCAAGAATCTAGCAACAGTCTGATGTGGGAAACAGCCTTCCATCCCTTCCCTAAGAAAGGCCTCTGTCTTTGTTCTCTGTGGCCTCACTGAGCCCCCGTCTAAATTCTCCTGCAGCTCCTCATGAACATTTGAGGCGGTGTGCTAAATGGGAAGTTTGACCTGGGCCTTGGGTAGCCTTGAGCAATTCCTATGAGCCTGAGATTCTTCTGCAGAAGCCAGATAATAGATTTGATATAGACCTCACCAGGCGCTGGGAGACCCCAGGTGCTCCATAAGTGGCAGCAATTAGTGCTCATAGGATTTCCTCTCTCCCGGTGAACTGGACCCAAAGTTTCCCAGGCTTGAGTTGGTCCCTCTCCCAGCCTGAGATTAACGGCGCTCCGGTGAGGTGTCCGCATCTCCTCGTCCTCCCAATATAAATGGCCACCCACAGTGGCGGCACGTGGAATTAGAATGTTAGCCGGGTGCGCCTCTCCATAATGGAGCTCATTTTTTATACAACTGGGAACTTTTTTAATAAAGAAAGATGTAAAATAATCTCATTGCCGCCACTGCCAAGCACAGGAAGCATTAGGCAGTTCCCCAGTGAGCTGCTTAATTCAATTTTATTAATTTTGCCACGGAGGTATAGCTCCCCTTCACTAGGGGTCCTCCAGGGGGTGAGGGGGCAGCTGGCTGGGTGGCAGCATCTTGGGGCATCACAGGGGACCTTCCACACGATGCTGTAAAAGGGCTCCATCATTGTTGGGGGTGCAGACCCGGCATCTTCCTTTATGATCTCGGCAAAGCACACAGCTTCAGCCTCCAACGCCTCATATTTTTCATGGGAATCGTCTGCCACACTGTTTTTGCTTCTTCAATTGTATTTGATTACCCCTGGGAAGGCAACCTTATTATAACCAGGCCATTCGCAGCTGAAGTCGTCTCAGCATCATCATTATAAATCCTTATTTCCTACGCTTTCGAATTTGTTTGGGGAGGAGGGAGAGACACACATGTCTCTACTTCCTCTGAGAATGACCATGATCATTTGCTGTCATTTAGTGGAAATAATCGCAACCATTAATTCAGTACCTTCTGTGTGCCCAGCACTCCACTAGGCAATTTACTTAGATTTCTTCAATCCTCTCAACAGTCCTTTGTTTTACAGAGGGAGAAATTGAGACACAGAGAGGGAAAGACACTTGCCCAGGGTCATACAGAAGAGCTGGTCACAGATGAGGCCGGAGTCCTGGCCTTAACCTAGACCTGAGCCCTGTTTTACCACACGGGGCCCCAGGGGGCCTTTCATTACCTCAGTCCACATGTGCTGTTTTGCATCAGGCGATCTACCTTGTCTGCTTGCTTCTTGGGTCTTCCTTGCTGCTTGTCAAATTTAACCAGTGACTAATGCAAGAGTGAGACAGTGTACCCAAATGTACCCAGACTCCAATTAGAGGAAATCCACATTTTAGCTTCAGAGTACCTTGCAGTGTTTCATGGGTAACAGGTACCAAATATAGAAAGAGGACTCCGAAGTATATTTCTTCATTAAAATATGGAAAACCCTGACATCCTGCTACCCCTGTGGGAGCCCTGTATTTCTGACTCTGAAAGGAAATCTAATCGTGTGCTGACCTAGTGGCCCAAGTGGAGATCACACAAGGGGCTCTGATGCTGGGGCAAGAGCAGACGTTCCAAAGCTAGGACTGTGTCCTCAAGCGGCCCACAGCCATCAAGGCCAGCCCAGATTCAAACCCACACAGCCCCTCCTGCCCCCAGGGCATCCAGGAAGAAAAGGAAAGCTGGGGAGCTGACCAGGGTAAGCAAGAAGCCCTAATTGTGGTGAGAGAGGGCAGGAGACATCCCAGCAGGGAAGGGAGGTCCAAAGCCCCAATAAGAGTGGGACTCTTAGAGGACCCCTGAGCATGTGTGGGTACATTGCAGTGGAGACAGTCAAACCCAGACCCAGTCATACCGGCCGCGGGATCTGGAGCATGCCCTTTATGTCCCTGGGCTCTTGTTTTCTCAGGTCAAACACTAGCACAGCGCCTGGCACATCATGAATGGTGTCAGGCATTGATTTGCTGGGCCCGCAGGGCCTCTCCCTTTTTAGGAGGGAGTCAAGGATCTGCCTACCATCCTTATTAGAAGAATCACATTAGGAAATGCTGTGAGTCATCTTCAGTGATAGCTACTGTTTGCTCAGCACCTGCACCATCCTTATCCTCACAACAGTCCTATGGAATTGGCATTATTATTCCCATTTTACAGATGAGAAAACTTCACAGAGCTCACAAGTGGCAGAGCCAGGACCCCAACCCTTGTTGACACCCACGACCTGTGCTGCCTCCTCTATTCAGGAGCTTCTCAGACCCAAGTTCTCAGCATCCAGATTAACCTTCTCCTTCCTTGTACCCCTTCTCCAGGTTCACAATCGGAACCTACTCTCTCTGGACTTTGACCGTGTGACACGCACGGAGAAGATCTATGACGACCACCGCAAATTCACCCTCCGGATCCTGTACGACCAGGCAGGGCGGCCCAGCCTCTGGTCACCCAGCAGCAGGCTCAATGGCGTGAATGTGACATACTCCCCAAGGGGCCACATTGCCGGCATCCAGAGGGGCATCATGTCTGAGAGGATGGAGTATGACCAGACAGGCCGCATCACGTCCAGGATCTTTGCTGATGGGAAGACATGGAGCTACACGTACTTGGAAAAGGCAGGTGTCTGTTGCCCTCCATCACTGACCTTGCCGAGTAGAGGGCCAAGCCCAGTCTGCTGACCTTGATAGGTTAGGTCTGACCCCTGTGGTCTCCAAAAGGAAATGTTCAGGAAAATCTGTAGCAGAGAGCCAGGGGGTCCCGAGAGGCTTCCTTCAGGATGGATCATGGTGATGGCATGGCAGTGGGGGGCAGGGAGGGGTTCTAGGGCAGGAGAATGTGAAAGTTGCGTGTGATAAACTAGAGCTGGGAACAGGATCAAATGCCATCTCGACTTACAGAGCAAGATTCAGGGTCCCAGAACAGGCAGAGATCTGCTCCCAGGTCTAGGGCACATGGGGTGATCTGGTCATGGAGGACAAAGCAGAAGCCTAAGGATCAATACCTAAGCAGGAAATACTTAATCCTGAGCTTCAAGGGGTATGTGTGGCCTTGGTAAATCCCTTCTGCTTCAGGTCAGGATTCATTTCATCCCAAGGGTGAGGAATCAGAAAGGGCCTGAAATCAAAAGTTGATTCCAAAGAGGAGAAAATGGTAGCGTTGGTACCTAGTTCCCGCTAGGCTGCTGACTTATTCCCGAAATAGTCTGTAGTTTATGGCCCAGTCTTGGTACCCAGATCCTTACTATGTTTCCTACTTCTGGTCATCCCTCCAGAGCCCAGGCTTTGCTTGCTCTGTGGCCAGCCTCCCCTGCTCTGTGCTGGGTAAGCATCTCTGAGAGCGATGTTCTGTGGTAGTGCTAAGAGAGACCTTGGAGGTCATCCAGCATACTGAAAAAGCTAGGGCCACACAATGAATGTTGTTCGAAGCCAGGTGTCCCTATTCCCATATGGCCTGTTACTATATAAACAATTGTGCAAGGCCTTAAATGCCTTTTTCAGACATGGTCTTTATCCTGTAGGCCACAGGGAGTCAACAAAAGTCAGTAGACATTATCAGACTGTATTTTAGGCAAAGAATTCTTGTTTGAGTAGGAAGATTGATTTCAGAAGGAAGCCAGGAGAGAAGATGCTGCAAACACTTTAGGCCAGTGCTCCCACCTTTGTCACACCCATCACATACTAAAGTCATCATTTTTGTACCACCCAAAGGGGCAAATTGACAAGGCTTCTCACGGGGCCCCAGGACTGCCAGGCCAAGGGATGAGAACAACACTTATCTGATCATATCTGTACCCCATTGCAATGTCTTATGGAAATATCTGGTCTGGGCATAATTTAGGAGATCCACCAGTTTCCTTGGCCTTTCATTGCTTTCCTTAAGCCTTGGGCAGGCACACAGGCCTCCCCTTCCTCCCCACCACCCTGCTCTCATCTCTTGGTTCTCCTTTCCCTCCAGTCCATGGTGCTGCTCCTCCACAGCCAGCGGCAGTATATCTTTGAGTTTGACAAGAACGACCGCCTCTCCTCCGTGACAATGCCCAACGTGGCCCGGCAGACATTAGAGACCATTCGCTCAGTGGGCTACTACAGGAACATCTACCAGCCCCCCGAGAGCAATGCCTTCGTCATCCAGGACTTCACTGAGGACGGGCACCTCCTCCACACCTCCTACTTGGGCACTGGCCGCAGGGTAATATACAAGTATGGCAAGCTGTCTAAGCTAGCCGAGATGCTGTACGACACCACCAAGGTGAGCTTCACCTATGATGAGACAGCCGGCATGCTGAAGACCATCAACCTACAGAACGAGGGCTTCACCTGCACCATCCGCTACCGTCAAATCGGGCCCCTGATTGACCGCCAGATCTTCCGCTTCACCGAGGAGGGCATGGTCAATGCTCGTTTTGACTACAACTATGACAACAGTTTCCGGGTGACCAGCATGCAGGCTGTGATCAATGAGACCCCACTGCCCATCGATCTTTATCGCTATGATGATGTGTCAGGCAAGACAGAGCAGTTCGGGAAGTTTGGTGTCATCTACTATGACATTAACCAAATCATCACCACAGCGGTCATGACCCACACCAAGCACTTTGATGCGTACGGGCGGATGAAGGAAGTGCAATACGAGATTTTCCGCTCACTCATGTACTGGATGACCGTCCAGTATGATAACATGGGGCGAGTAGTGAAGAAGGAGCTGAAGGTGGGACCCTATGCCAACACTACCCGCTATTCCTATGAGTACGATGCTGACGGCCAGCTACAGACTGTCTCCATCAATGACAAGCCGCTCTGGAGATATAGCTATGACCTCAATGGGAACTTGCACTTACTGAGCCCTGGGAACAGCGCACGGCTCACCCCACTGAGGTACGACCACCGCGACCGCATCACTAGGCTAGGTGACGTGCAATACAAGATGGACGAGGATGGCTTCCTGAGGCAGCGAGGTGCTGATGTCTTTGAGTACAACTCAGCTGGCCTGCTCACCAAGGCCTACAACCGGGCTGGTGGCTGGAGTGTCAAGTACCGCTACGATGGCCTGGGGCGGCGGGTGTCTAGCAAGAGCAGCCAGGGCCACCACCTGCAGTTCTTCTATGCAGATCTGACCAACCCCACCAAGGTCACCCACCTCTACAACCACTCCAGCTCTGAGATCACATCCCTCTACTACGACCTGCAAGGGCACCTCTTTGCCATGGAGCTGAGCAGCGGTGATGAGTTTTACATAGCTTGTGACAACATAGGGACCCCTCTTGCTGTCTTCAGCGGTACAGGTTTGATGATCAAGCAGGTCCTGTACACAGCCTATGGGGAGATCTACATGGACACTAACCCCAACTTCCAGATCATCATTGGCTACCACGGTGGCCTCTATGATCCACTCACCAAGCTTGTCCACATGGGCCGACGGGACTATGATGTGCTGGCTGGCCGCTGGACTAGCCCAGACCATGAGCTGTGGAAGCACCTTAGTAGCAGCAACATCATGCCTTTTAATCTCTATATGTTCAAAAACAACAACCCCATCAGCAACTCTCAGGACATCAAGTGCTTCATGACAGGTGAGGATCGGGGCTCATTCAGAGGGCAGGGGCCGGTCATCTCTTCCTCTTGTCTGGTTGTTGACACAACAGTCATCCTTGAGAAAGCTGCCAGGGGGTAATGGGAAACTGACTTTATCTTAGAGCAGCATTTTCCAAAGTATATTTGAAGAAACACTAGTTCAGAAAAATGCTCTGGAAAAACTGTCTCTGGCATCAAATCAATTTGACAGGGAGGCCACCATTCTTTAAATTTTCATAATACATTTCAGCTTATGAAAGGCTCTGAGAAGTCCTGTAGTAAAGAGAATCGTTTAACATATTTACTCATTATTTTTAAACTTTTTTTACCATAAAACCCTGTTTTTCACCATGAAAACTTAATATCTCCCTGGATGCATTCCTTAAAATGCATTTTGGAAGTTTCCGACCCAAAAATCAAGCTGGCTATAAGTCTCTGAGAAGTTGGGTGAAAGTATGGCTTTTAAAAAAGTGTCTTATTTGGGATGAAGAAATGGAAAATTTAGACTTTGGAGACAGACAGAACTAAGTAAAGGGGTCCACCATGTCTAAGCCATTACAGTCACAAAAATTACTTAACTTCCCTGAATTCCTGATTTGTAAACTGAAGTTAGAATACATACCATGACTTGGATAAGTTAAATATGCACATTGTAAATCCTGGAACAACTACAAAAAAATAAAACAAAGGCATAGCAAATCAGTCAATAAATGAAGTCTAAAATATTTTCAATCCAAAGAAGGTAGGCAAAGAGGGACAAAAGGAGCAAAGAACAGACAGACAAATAGGAGAGAGAGAAAAACTTCCCTGGTAGGATGGTTGCAAGGCTAAAATGAGATACATTTTAGAACCTGCCCAGCTCAGTGCATAGCTCACATTGGTTCCCTTTCCTCCACCTTCTGATTTAAAAAGTGGGCTTTGCTTTCCACTACTGTGGAACCACCTAGAGTATAAAGTGTCCCATAGGTCATACATGCCAGACATGTCTCCAGCAGTCATAGTCCTCCCAGCAAGCAGCCACTCCCAGCCACAGAAAACCTCAATGTCTGAGTGGCTATGGGGATTCAGGTCTGGAAAAAGCCAGCACTTTTTATAAAAGAGAGCTTGTGGCATATCCCAACTTGTAAACCTAGTAGTCACCACCTCCTTTGTCCTGTGACACAATTCTCTTGCTCCCTATTTTAAGGCAGTTTCATTCATGCAACAAGTGCCTCCTCTGTGCAGCCACTGTTTTAGTCACTAGGGGTAGAAAGATAATCCCTGCCCTCCAGGAATGCTCACTGCCGGAGGGGAGGCAGACCACTGCTGTCCAGTGTGAGGGCCTCATGGTGAAGGGTTGCATTGATGGCCATTGAGACACCGGAGGCATAGCTGGCTCTGCTCAGAGAGCAGCTGATATTTGAGGCCCGCTAATGAGTAGACATCCATCAGGTACTAGAGAGGGAACTGCATATACAATAGTGTAAGAGAGCCCTGGCTAGGTAGCTCAGTTGGTTAGAGCTTCATCCTGATATGCCAAGGTTGCAAGTTCGATCTCCAGTTGGGGTATGTACAAGAGTCAACCAATGAATGTATAAATAAGTGGAACAACAAATCAATGTTTCTCTCTCTCTCTCTCTCTCTCTCTCTCTCTCTCTCTCTCTCTCTCTCTCTTCAAAATAATTTTTTTTAAATAATAGCCCTGGACAGTATGGTTCACTTGGTTGGAGATCATCCCATGCATTTCCAGTCAGGGCACATACCTAAGTTGGGGGTTCAATTCCCCAGTCAGGGCAAGTACAGGAGGCAACTGATTGATGTACTTTCTCACATTTATGTTTCTCTCTCTCTCTCTCTCTCTCTCTCTCTCTCTCTCTCTCTCTCTCTCTCCCTTCCTCCCTCTCTAAAATCAATAAAATATATGATAATAACTTTTTTAAAAGAGCATAGAGAGGGCAACGAGTACATCTCACATGAGGGCCCCTTAGGGACATGGCTTCATTGGCCCCTGAACTCGGTAGCCTAGTCTGGCCCCTGTTTCTGCTGACAGCAATTGGAGGAATTTCAGGGAAGAATTCCAGGTGGTCATGTTGAGAGGATTCAGGTGGTCCTATTGAGAGTCCCAAGAGTGGGGAAGAAGAGAACTCAGAAGTGAAGCAGGTGTGACGGAAACACCCTGGGGCCTGCAGATGCCCAGGAGACTTCCCAACAGGCCCACACTCCCCTGCTGCCAGCCCTGGGAAAGCCTCACCAATTGCAAGGACATCTCCGTTACATCTGTCTGCATTAACCACACCGCTGCCTCACCCTCCCTGGAGTGTCCTGTGAGACGTCTTGGCAGGTTACTATAGCTGAAAAAAAAAATGGTGCAAAAACCATTTTACTACTAAACACCAAAATACTACAATTCTCATTAAGCCTTACCTTTTAGCTTCTACCTGGGCTACATGCAACCACATTCACATCCAGCAACAACAATAATAAAAAGAGCATCTTATTCCCAAAAATTTCTTCAGGAGTTCTGAGATGTACTCTAATCATCGGATAGGCTTATGTCACATGACAATCCCTGAACCAATCAGTCACTGTGGCTGGGGAGACAGAATGCATTGCTTGGTTTAGCCAGATCACATGCTCCCTTACTGAACTCCTAGGTGGAGACTGCGTCCCTAAAACTATATGAGAACCCCAAAAGGAAGGAGTGAGCAGGAAGAATGGGGTGCTAGGAAGATGACCAAAAAATGTGCACCACAGATATATCATGTACAATATTGCACTTGACCCTCACTTGAGCCTGGGAGATGGGGATCACTGACCCCATTTTCAGAGAGGTTGTCACTGGCCCACTAGGAAGTGGCAGGAAGGGGTTAGATGGCTGTTCCATCTGACTCCAAAGTCCTCATCTTGGATTCAGATTCACTTTGTAAAGTGCAACAAAGGGATTCTTATTATTCAGGGGGCCACATTGCGCAGTCTGGGATGGATGAGTAGAGAAGAGTTTTTTAACTTGAGGAATGTGTCTACATCTGATGCCATAGAAAGGAAAGGGAAAATTCTCAACTCTTCAGAAAAGCCAATTGGGGAAAAAAAATTATTCCAGCATTTTTTCTAAAGGTGTAATGAGAAAGTTTCCCACCTTCCATCACTTATAATTAAGGCCCAGCCCTGTTTTCAGACCCCTGGTTTCCTGGGACTTTGCAGTATTCCTGATAGAAAATTTTCTTTACAACTACAAATTCAGATGCATGTTCTCAGCCTCAGGCCAAAAAAAAAACCTTAGTCGGGTTCCCACCACACACACACACCACTTGGTTCTGTTTGTTTTAATTTCCCAAAGAACCATCTGCCAAGATTCATAGAATCAGAGATTCTTAGAAACTCAATGAGGGAAGGGAATTCAGAGACAAGCTGGTCCAAGCGTCTCATGTTACAAATGAGGAAATGGAGGTCCAGGGAGGTGGAGGCATGGGTTCGAGGAAACACAGAAAACTTTCTGTGAACCAGGAGGAGCTGCACCCTTTAAAATACATTCATGTAACAAGCTCACAATAGGCCTTGTTGTCAGATAGCTGCCCCCAGATGGTGACACTGTTAGTACTTCTCTCCATGACTTAAAGAAAACCACCTCTGCCATCAATTTGTAGGTAAGGAAACTCAGCCTCAGAATGGTCCAAGTCCACACAGTTCGCAGGTTAGGGGCCAGCGTGTGGACCTGGGTTTTGCCTTGCCTCACCATGTTCTTTTCCTTGTAGGATCTTTCTATAAGTTTCCAAACTTTCCTTTCTAACCACCCCTCTACCTCAGCGCCTCCAGGTTTCACCCCCCAGAGAGGGGCTCTGGGACATACCAAAAAACAAAGACAAAAAGGAAAGTCGAGCACAAGGTTTTTGCAGGGGAAGGCAGCATGGGATGCAGTGGTGAGAGGGACACAATTGTTGACCCCCAAAGAACACTCCCATCACTGGGATGAACTCAGTGGGTGATAGGGAAGACAATTCCACCAAGGCCTGGTCCCTAAACAGGGCCTCTCTGACCAGGGATCGCTCTCCTTTGGAAGAAGCTAAAAGCAGGCCTGGGTGCCCACAGCCCCGAGTTGCTAGTTCTGGGGCTCAGCTCCAAATCCTGCCTCCCCTCGACTTTGAATTCCAAGTCTCTGGTCAACAACTACTTTGTCATTTTCAGCTGTCCCTTCTCAAACCTTGCTCCAACACTCTCTCCTATAAGCCCCAAATCACCTCCTGCTGGCCATCCAGGCTCTTCCTGCTCCAACCACAATTTCCTTTCTGGTTCTTTCTCTGCTGTCTGGTGACCTGAACACTCCCTGCACTCGCCTCCCCTCTCCAGGCCTTGCCTTGTGCATCAGTCTTCTTGAAGTGCCCCCTTTATCTCCATCAAAGCCTGACAGTATTTGCACAGCTTTCAATGTTTGGCTTAAATACCACCTTCTTCATGAAGATACATCAGACTAGCCAACTGAAAGATTTCTGACTTCTCCTCATCTTTTTTTCTTGTATCAAAGTTCTTCATGTCCATGTCCCGTCTCCCCTTCAGGGACCTGAGTGTGCAAAGGGAGGGTCTGTGTGACACAGTACTAGGCACAGAAAAGGCACCCTGCAACAGTGGGCCAAGTAGCTGGTTGCACACCCTCCACTCTTTTTTTTCCTCATTTTATTTTATTTTATTTTTTTTTTAATAAATCTTTATTGTTCAGATTATTACAGTTGTTCCTCTTCCCCCCCCCCCATAGCTCCCTTCCACCGGGTTCCTACCCCACCCCATGCCCTTACCCCCCCCCCCCCCCCGCCTCATCCATACGGTGACGATTTTTTGGCAGTCTCTTCCCTCACCCCCCAAACCACCTTTCCCACAGAAATAGGCGAGCCACGGCGTTGATAAGGGCCGGTGGAATATTAGTCAGACGAGAATTGCGTTCCTGGGGTTGTTAAGTAGTAAGTTTGTTGAGATTCATAAAGTATACAGAAGCAACTAAGTAGATGTTAGAGGATGAGAATGTTTATTATAGAGATTTGATGTCCAATGACCACTCTCAAGCAGAGAACGTCTTGAATTGAGATACGAGGGGACTCAGACCGCAGAGCCAGACCCACGTAGAGTTGACGT